GAGAGTTCTTTGTACATAACAGCAGAATAAGTTTCCAAATACTGATTGTGTGCCAATTGTATTTATAAAGCTGGGAATTATTCAGAACTTACATTCACAAGTTTTGTTTGAAATTTTCATGCATGTATATATTAGATTTGAAGCATTTCACTATTTCACTCCAATTCCCTTTAAACTTCCTCTCCTATCTCCTGGTGAATAAGTCTTCCCCAAACCATTGTTTTTTTCAAGTTGCTATTCTTTATTTTTTCTTCTGATCATTTCTTGGAATATGGGCTATATTCTTTATGAAAATGACTCCCTACTCCCCTTCTTTGTTATTTATCACTTACTCATTTACAATTTCAGGGAAGGATAAGGCAACATTGGCTCCTGCCCCTTGCATGATGACATGGTGGTGGGTCAAGTCTAATGTAAATTGCTACAGTGGCAGTTTGCTCATGAGGGCTACAGACAAGCTATTCCCACAAGGCCTTGTCTCATAGCCCTTGTTCACAGTGTCTGGTCTATATGCAGATTCTGTCTATTCTCCATGAATGTCCCTGAGATTTGGGGTGGAGACGTTCCTTTTGGGATGACTACTTCACAGTTACATGTTCTCTGTACTTTGACCAGTTGTGAACCTCTGTCTTAACCACTTTCTACTGTAAAAAATACTTTTAGGATGAATGCTAAGAATAGCATATTCCTGAGGGCTTAAATAAAAGGAATTGAAAGTAGTTTGATGACATGTCCATTCAGAAAACAAAAAAAGAAAACAAACAAATGAAGGAACAAATGAAATTAGTAAGTTTTTCCTTGTCCCCATGACTACCCACACATATTTTCTTGACCAGGTTTACATTTCTGTTCATTAACATTAATATTATTTTTTATGTCTCATATAATGGGAAAATCATCCCAAAAGTCCATGTGTAGACTCCTCCTCTGTGTGTCAGTCTGCAATACAACCCCCCTTTAGAGCTCAGCCTGACAGCCAGTGTCTGAAGCAGTCACTGCTTCTCCATACAGAAATGATAAAAAAGCAGTCATTGCTATCTCCACACAGAAATGATAAAAAACTACTCATATCCTCCTCCTTTGTGTGTCAACAAAACCTTGACTAAAATATGTCTAGTGAAAACATGTTCTCACTGTGACCATTGTCTCACAAGTTCTCATTGCACTTAGCATTAACCTCAAAATTCCTGACAGATTTCCCAAATCAGGCAGTCTCAGTTATATACACAGGCTATGTTAACTTCTTCTACAGGTTGAACTTTCCCAGGCTCTTTTCATTTAATATCTTCTGTTTTACATGAACTCAGGGTCCTAAGCATGGCTCTAGGGATCTTCTTTGCACTTTTGAACTAACAAATCTCTTCTGTCAGGTCTGCTCTCAAGTAGGTGCTTCTGGAGAAGGCATTCTTAGTACTCTCTCATCAAAGAAGATGAATAGGTAATTTACTTGGTGGACAGAAGAGTGTGTACATACATACATACATACACACACACACATATATATTAGATCTTATTGAATAAAGTATTTATCATAAGTTGCTGGCTTATGTCAGTTTCTCCTCTGCTAGCATCTAAAATTCTCAGATATAGGCACCCATCACCAAACTGGGCAGAGGTGTGACTCTGAAAACAGCAGTATGTGGCAAGATAAGTCCATAATGGTATAGGAGTAGTATCTTAGGAAGATGGATAGGAATGCCAGCCAAAACATTTTCATCACATGCCTCACCCCACAAGCCATCCTGCTGTAAAGCCTAATGAGATTGGAAGTGATTATAATTTATGGCCACATCTATATACTACAAGTTGTGGGATTCTAGATACACTATTGATTGTTTGCATAAATTAAAACACTCTAACAGAGCTTGGAGCAAAAATAATTTCCAGTTGTTACCTCTAGGAGGCGCTATGAACTGTAGGCTCCTTTTGGGGGATACTAGAGAGGAGCAGTTTGTGGAGGAAACTGATGGAAGTAGAGATCCTCTCTGGCCATGTCTGCAGCACAGATGGTCATAATCAGCTACAAAATCAGTGTTATCTACACAGCTCTCACAACCAGATATTTAGCCTGATTCCACCAAAAGCACAGAAAGGCTACTCATTTGTTCACCTGGATAACTCCTAGGCATGTTGACTGCTCAAGGACATAGGACAGAGTTAAGTTTCAGCATCATCAGCATCCAGACTGAAGAGGTGCCAGTTTATTACTGTGAAGGCTGTTGCAGTCTCCTCAGTTCCTTAGCCTGCAATACAGACACCTTTAGAGCTCAGCCTGACAGCCAGTGTCTGAACCAGAAAACTTTTTATCTCTACACAGGCTGGTAAGGACTCTCCTCTCTGTCCAAGGATCAGTGAGCCTTGCCTTACTCAAGTAGACTTGAAGGTGTAGGAGAGCACTCCAGGGCCAGTGTGTCCTTTAATCTTTTATGGGATGTACTACTTCAAGTCAAGATTAAATAATTATCTTTCACTTCTTTTGCCTATTTTGATAGTATGATTTTAAAGGTCATTTGACACAAAATATCCTCATTATAAGGAGCTATGTTCATTAGTGTAATAATTTATTTGGAAACAATTTAAAAATATTCTTTTCATGTTAGTATCCATACTGTTTAAAAATGGGTAATCTTTAAATTCCAGTAATGCTCTCCTTTTTCTTTTTGATATGTTTTCTTCTGATATTACCTATTAATAAATATTAACTATATATAAAATTTGTTTGTGAGTTATTTGGTGAAACTGAAAGTACTTACAGTAACCACACGGAATTATGTTGTATAATTACACACTTGAGCTAGGCAGGAATACATCAAATTTGTGACAGACACTGAATAAGGAAACAAGTAAACTGAAAATTTTCACCTGTCTAAATTCTACAGTCTCCATGTGTTCTGCATATGGGCAGAACACAGATGGGCTGCAGTGGAGCCTCAGATCACCTACCTACTCACCCTTCTCTTTATCTTGTGCTTGTTGAAATATTAACTGTATTTTCATATACTCATTATACTTAATACTGGATTTTATAAATTCAGACATCTTTCAAGATTATGTTACATAACCATATATATGCCCAGTATTGATGAGATTTTATGTCAAATTGACAGAAACTAAAAATTTTCTGAGAGGGACAACCCTCATTTGAGAAAATGCCTTAGTACTACTGAACACTGGACAAATTGCAATTGCAGGGATTTTTCTTGATTAGTAATTGACGGGGTAGAATGCAGTCCATTGTAGGTTATGGTGACCTTGGGTTCCTCAACAGAGCATCCTGAGCAAGCCATGAGGAGGAATACAGTAAGGAGCACTCCTCCATGGCTTCTGCTCAGCTTCTGCCTCTGGGTTCCTTTTCTATTTGAATCAAGCCCTAACTTCCCTCAGTGATGGACTGTTACCTGGAAATGTAAGGAGAATAAATTTTCCCATCTTTGTAAGTTGCTTTTGTTCATGATGTTTTATCAAAGTAATAGGAATCCCAAATAGGATGCGTCCTTTACCCTTTCTACCTGTTCCATGTTTTAGTTACTACAATTTTCTTCCGACACTGAGTTCCCCTTCTATAAACCTACTACAGTTGTGTTCATGTTTATATATTTATGTTTAAATTATAAGAGTTATAAATCATAAGGTACAAGTAATACTTTTGCTTCTAAGCCATATGTTCCCCTCTGCCTCTTTGTCATGGGTCACATTCCACTTTAAATTCCTCTTATCTGCTCTCAAATGTAGAGAACTGGATACCTCACTCAATACCAAAGTAGTACAATTGTTTGTTGATAGACTCTTCCTTAGAGGATTTTATCTTATAATTATGAGTAACTATAACATTTAAGGAAGGGGAATCTCGAGGCACAATGTAAGCAATATGGTAACTAATGCCATCCATTCATTCTCTAAAAACTAACTGATCAACTGCTTTTGGAGGCCACTGCTATTGGAGGGTATGAGAGAATTATAGACCAAATACAATTTCTAATATTTTGTGTGTGTTTTCTTACATGTATTATATACTCTTTATGGATTCTCCCTTATCATAAATTATGTTTTATAGTTGTGATAAGCAACATGACCAAAGCAACATTTTAAGAAAGAATGGGGCTTTCAGAGAATTAGAATCCATGATAGTAGAATGAAGGCAGCAGGGGGCAGTCCAAGTAGGAACTGGAGCAGAACTCAGGGCTCACATATCCAACTCTATGTATGTGTGTGTGTATAGATATGTATGTATGTATGTATGTGTATATATATATGTGTGTGTGTGTGTGTGTGTGTGTGTGTGTGTGTGTGTGTGCCATGTCTGTGTCATAACTGGAATTACAGATGTCTAAGAATTATCAAACAACAGCTTCTAATCAAACCTGAGTCTTTTACAAGAGAAACAACTGTTGTTAACCACTGACCTGACACTTTACCCCAGACCTTTTTATTTTAATATTTATCCTCTTTTATCTTCTCCATTAAACTTTCCTCTCCACATTGAGCATCCCTCCCCAGTCACATTTTCCTCTCCTCTCTATCATCTCCTTTCTTTCTTTTTTTCACCTCATCTTCCCCATTGCCCTTCATTCTTTCCTTTCTTCTCTTTCCCTCTTTTTTCTTTCTGCTGTTGCTGATCAGAATATTTATTATTTCCTTAGAATTGTTATCAAAAGTTTTTCAAGTATTATTTATGTAAAACTCACTTGGTTTAAAGATTTTTGAACTTTAATGGAAGACTGTCTTAAGTGCATCTCATTATTTGCAGTTTGAGAGCTCTAAGTTGGTCCTTGAGCTTCTGTCTTGATTTTCCCACCCAAGTGATTGCTTATTTTCTTGGATGATAGTTTTGGCTGCAGATTTCACCTGGATACTCTCACACCACAGAACCCAACCTATTTCCTTTCTTATTTGATAACTACTTTGCATAGGTCCCTACAAGCCAGCCCAGCTGCCTATGATTTATACACCAGGCCTTTGCAGTGAGAACTGAAAAGCATCAGACAGGCTGGGGCACCAAGATGGAGTCACACATCCAGGTCTTCATATTCCTGCTCCTCTGGATGTCTGGTGAGACATTAGAGAGTATTAGAATGTTGTCAAAATAATTCATTTGTAGAGAAACAGCTATTTACTATTGGAATCCAATTCTATGCAGGCAATGCCATTAGGAAAGGAGTTTTGGAACCCAACTTTTGTATCAGGAACTCTTTTTGTGTATATGTGTATAGTCATTGTCTTTATCTGATTGCAGGTGCTGAGGGAAACATTGTGATGACCCAGTCTCCTGAATTCATGTCCACATCTATAGGAGACAGGATTACCATAAGCTGCAAATCTAGTCAAAGTGTGAAAAGTTATGTAGCTTGGTACCAGCAAAAATCAGGGCAGCCTCCTAAACTGCTAATTTATGGTGCATCCACTCGCCCCTCTGGGGTCCCTGATCACTTCACAGGCAGTGGATCTGGGACAGATTATACTTTCACTATCAGCAGTGTGCAGCCTGAAGACTCTGCAGTTTATTACTGTCAGCAGGGTTACAGAACTCCCACAGTGCTTTAGCCCCCGACACCAACTCCTTGAGAGTCTCACCTGCTGCCTGCACCACACACAGCCCTGGCCCTGCACACTTCCCCTTTCTGCCTGAGATCTGCTATGCATGACTGATTGATTCACTGTTCATCAGAAAATTAATAAAGAGGTGGCCTCCATTCTTGTACACTTTTGGCAATACAGGTGCATATAGATAAAAAGTAAGATGCTAAGTTAAGAGATTTAGAAATTGGGGTGTTACATTATGAGGATACAGTACAAGCAAGAAGCATTAGTGAACTTTACAGTGTCATGCTGGCTTTAGATATATCTTTGTTATGCCTTCAGGATATGATGAATCTCTATAAAATAGGACAGAATTTAAAATCATTTACAATGACTACACCATCATGAGATTATCAGTTTAGATTAAGAATCCACAAGCTTTAGTAAATGAAATCTATCAAAAAGATTGACCATTTCATTCCTATTTTCAAATTTTGTGGTGTACAGGCTTTTGAAGTAGGACCTAGTGATTCTTTGAATTTCCTCAGTGTCTGTCGTTATTTCCACTTTTTTGTTTATGATTTTGCTGATTTGGATAGTTTCTCTCTGCCTTTTAGTTAGTTTGGCTAAGGGTTTGTGTATCTTGTTGATTTTCTCAAAAACCAGCTCTTGGTTTCACTGATTCTTTGAATTTTTTTCATATAATAAACAGTTAATTACTGAAATTATAGATGGTTGTATAAATATGAAAGACCAGGATTGCATTATCTGCATATAGAAAGATGAGAAACTCTGGGTAACTGCTCATGTGGTATGCTTTGATGTATTTGTCTGTGTCTCCTGCAAATATGCATCTGATTTTCATTTATTTATTACAGTTTATTCACTTTGTATCTCAGCTGTGGACCTTTCTCTCATCTCCTCCATAACCCACCCTCCCTTCCTCTTCTCCTCCCATGCCCCTCCCTCAGTCCACTGATACGGTTGGACCTCCTCCTCTTCCATCTGACTCCAGCCTATAAGTTCCCATCAGGACTGGCTGCATTGTCTTCCTCTGTGGCCTGGTAAGGCTCTTCCCCACCCTCTCTTGAGGAGGTGATTAAAGAGCCAGCCAGTGAGTTTATGGTAGAGACAGCCCCCTTTCCCCTTACTAGGAACCCACTTGGAGACTGAGCTCCCATGGGCTACATTTACGCAATCATTCTAGGTTATATAAATGAATGGTCCTTGGTTGGAGTATCAGTCTCAAAAAAGAACTTTTTTTCCAGATTTATTGGTTCTGTTTCTCTCCTCTGGAGAGGCTTTTTGCTCTTTCTGTTTTTGTTGAGATCCAGGATTGTCTGATAGGATACAGGGGATTATTTCAATTTTTTTGTATTTGTTGAGACTTGCTTTGTGACCAACTATATGTTCTATTTTGGAGAATGTTCCAGGAGGTGCTGAGAAGAAGGTAAATATTTTTGTGTTTGAGTGAAAGGTTCTGTAGATGTCTGTTATGTCCATTTAATTCATGACATCTGTTAGAGTCATTATTTCTTTATTTAGTTTCTGTTTCTTTCTGACCTGCCCTTTGTTGAGAGTGGGGTGTTGAAGTCTCCCACTATTAATGTGTTGGGATCTCTGTGTGGTTTAAGTTTTGTTAATGTTTCTTTTAAAAATGTGGTCACCCTTGTATTTGGGGAATCAATGTTCAGAATTGTGATGTCATCTTAGTGGAATTTTTCTTTGATGAATAAGAAGTGAGCTTTCCCACCTCTTTGGATTAATTTTGGTTCATAATCTATTTTATTAGATATTAGAATGGCTACTGTTGCTTGTTTCTTGGGTTCATTTGTTCGAAAAAACTTCTTCCAGCCTTTTACTCTCAGTTAATATATGTCTTTGTGATGTAGGTGTGTTTCTTGTATGCAACAGATTGTTGGATCTTGTTTATGCATTCATTCTGATAATCTGTATATTTTTATTGGAAACCTGAGTCCATTGATGTTGAGAGAGGTTAATGACTAGTGACTGTTAGGTCTGTTTATTTTGATGTTGGTTGTGGTAGTGTATTTGTGTCCTTGTTCTCATTTAGTTTTGATGTAGCATGATTTTTTTGTGAGTTTTCTTGGGTGGAATTAGCCTTCCTGGGCTATAATTTTTTTACTAGATTCTCCTATAAGCTGGTTTTGTGGGTAGGTACTGTTTAAATTTGTTTTTGTTGTTGAATATCTTATTTTCTCCATCTAAAATTATTGAGAGTTTTTCTAGATATAGTGTTCTGGGCTATCTGTGTTTTCTTAGGGTCTGCATGATATCTGTCCAGTGTTTCATAGTCTCTGTTTAGAAGTCAGGTGTGGTTTTGATGGGTTTGCCATTATATGTTCCTTGGCCTTTTTCCCTTGCAGCTCTTAGTATTTTTTCTTTTTTCTGTATACTTCCTATTTGGTTTATCATGTGGAGGGAGGATTTTTTGTTGTTGTTGTTGTCTAATTCATTAGGTATGCTGTAGGTGTCTTTTATGCTTACAGGCCTCTCCTTTAAATTGGGTAACTTTTCTTCTCTTATTTTGTTGAAAATATTTTATGGGCCTTCTTTTTTTACTATTCCTATTATGCTTAGGTTTTGTCTTTTTATGTTGTTCTTGATTTCTTGGATGCCTTATGTCAGTATTTTTTTTTTTTTTAGATTTAACATTTTACTTGGTGGATACATCAGTTTCTTCCATTGTGTCTTCCACATCTGAGATTCTTTTTTCCATCTCTTGTAGTCTGTTGGTAATGCTTACCACTGTAGTTCCTGTTTTCTTCCCTAATTTCTTCCTTTCCATGATTTCCTCCTTTTGTGTTTTCTTTAATTTTCCAATTCCAGCTCCAGATCCTGAACCATTTTGTTGATTTCCTTCACTTGTCTGACTGTAGTGTCCTGCTTTTCCTTAAATTCCTTCATATGTTTGTTCGAACATTCCCCTGTTTTTTAAATTTCTTTTGTTGACTTAATTATTTCCTCTACGAAGTCCACAAACTGTTTGGCTGCATTTTCCTGTATTTCTTTATGCATTTTATTTTTTTTCTCCATTATCCTCTTTATAAACATAGATGTAATGTCATCTTCCTTAATTTCACTTATGTTAGGTACTCCAGGGCTACTTGTCCCTGGATATCTGGGTTCAGGAGATGCCATATTGCTTTGGCTTTATTGATTGTACTTTTTCACTGGACTCTACCCATCTGGCTCCCTCAGGTGTTGGCTGTCAGTTTCTGGTGTCTGGTGGAATCCTGGGGTGGTGAGAATTCCCTTGGAAGAAAGATGGTTGTTCCTGAAGTAGGCCTCCTCAGGTTTGTGAATGGTCACCATATGGGCTGATGCCTCTCAGGGAATTACCACAGCCCACTTCAAGTGTTTGGACTTGTGGGGTAACTGGTCATTTGTAGTCAGGGGGTGTTGACCTCTCACCAGGAAAAGTCCTGAAGACAGCTACCTTACCACTGGGTTTCTTGCTCTGAATTTAGTGAGCTGGTGTTGCAACTCTGATTCTGTGTTTCCTGGGTGCAGCCCTCTTGAAGAACAAGGGAGCCTTCTGATTTTTTCAGTTTAGCTAGGGTGACAGGTTGTGCCTTTTAGCAACATCTGGGTCTGATCCAGTGGATCCCAGGCATCTGTAGGTCTGAGGTTCTAGCTCTGTGCCCCAGTACCCAAGTGGTAATCAGTGGCAGGTGAGCCCAGTACTCAGGCATGTGGAAGGAGCCTAAATCCTGAAGCTTGCAGGAACCCAGAAACTTTTCTTGGGATCAGCTGGGTGTCCTGAGATTTGACCTGATGTTTACCTTACCATGGCATTTCATCCTGAAAGTAAATCCCAATTTCTGGTGTTTTAAGGGCCACAGTTCTCTCTGAGATGGCGAGTAGGGCATGCAGGCTTGTGTCTCTGTGCTGGCAACTGAGTGCCTGCTGGAGCCAGGACCTTTTCTAGGAATTGTCTGAGTGATATGTGGTCCCTGTGCCTTGATTTTACTCTTCACCATGGGGTTTTCTCTTGACTGCAAAACCCAATCTATGATTTTGCTGGGCCCACAGTTGATTATGATAAAGGAGGACCTTCTGGGACATGGGAACTCTTCCAGGGTTTACCTGTGTGACCTGTGAATGGACCCAGTTGTTTTCCACTCCTTCGGGTTTAGTCTCACCTGGGAAACAAAATCGCTGGTATTTTGGGGCCCACACTTCTATCTATTGGTTGTCATGCAGTCACTGCTGTCCTGGCCTTCAGACACAGTGTCCTCTGAGTGCCACCATCTTGCATCAACAATCTCCTTTTGCCTTTGTTAAAAATTAATTTTTTATTGATTTCAATTGATTCACTTTGTATCCCAGTTATAGCCCTATTGTTCATCCCCTACTAATCCTTCCCTCATCTCTTCCCATGCCCCTCCCTAAGTCCACTGATAGGGGAGTTCCTCCCCTTCTTTCTGACCCTAGCCTGTCAGGACTCATCAGGACTGGATGCATTGTTTTCCTCTGTGGCCTTGTATGACTGCTCCTCCATAAAGGGTTGGTGATCAAAGAGCTAGCCACTGATTTCAAGCCAGAGACAGTCTCTGTTCCCCTTACTAGGAACCTACCAGGATACTTAGCTACCCTGGAATACATCAGTGCAGAGGTTCTAGGTTATCTCCAGGAATGGTCCTTGGATTGAGTATCAGTCTCAGAAAAGACTCCTGTGCCAAGATTTTTTGGTTCTGTTGTTTTTCTTGTAGAGTTCCTTTCCCTTCCTGGCCTTTATATTACTCCCTTCATTCAAAAGATTTCCTGCATTCTGCCCAAAGTTTTCCTATGAGCCTCAGTATCTGCATTGATACCCTGCAGGGTAGAGTCTTTCAGAAGCCCTTTGTTGTAGGTTCCTGTCCTGTTCCCTGTTTTATCTATCCTCCAATGTCTATACTGTTTGCCATTCTGAGTGAGGATTGATCATCTTACCCAGGGTCCTCCTTCTTGCTTATCATTTTTAGATGTACAGATTTTAGTATGCCTATCCTATATTATAT